ATAAATAAATAAATAAATAAATAAATAGTCATCTTCCAACCTGTTCTGCCAGTAGAAATAAGTTTTGAACTCTTTCCGCTCTCCTTTCCTCCTGCTTCGCAGCGAGCCCTTTCACGGCCTCAGCAAGGTGCGAGTTATATGGATTTTTTTGCAAACTTTATGGACTTTTGAGGTTTTCATACAGGTAAACGTCCAAAGAGGTTGACATGTATGGGACAACAAATACAGACTTGTTGTTATTGAGTTTGTGAACACGAACCACTACCTGAGAGGCACTACTAGCCGCTCCCCTGTCAGAGTGTCGGAGAAGGACGAGTCAGTGCAACGTCAATGAAATGAGAGAGAAGGTGAGGGCGATTGCTGCGTGGGGGTGGGGTGTTATGGGTAGTTTATTTTTCCTGCAATATTTCATTATAGTTTTTAAGACAAAGCTAATTGAAAGGGGCGCTGAGCAGAGTTACAACCAGGAATTACAAATAATTACTTTTTTTCTTCTGCAGTTCGGTGCCCCCTCCAGCAGATGGTGCTCTAGGCGACCGCCTAGTTCGCTTATGCTAAGAGCTGGCTCCGAGGTGACCTGCTGTACAGATTTTATTGAGACTCTGGATATAATCAGTGGTTGTACATCTACAGCTGAGTTAACCCAATGGCCTCCACACCCAAGTAGGAAAACATAAAAACTGCTATGGRTCACTGTGTGACAGTTTAAACCTTTCTAAATGTAAAAAGTTAATTTTAACAGCACAGGAGGGGAAAGTGTGGTTCACTGTTTTAATGAAGCGTGCTGATATCATTTTAAAACAAACACAAGTTGATCTATAAGCAGACACTGTCTTCCTGCTTGTTTCCCAGGGATGGCGTGCTTAGTTCACTGAAACTATTACAAGTGAGAGGTGTGGCTTTGTGTTATGACAGCACAGGTTAGTGAAGCAGGCAACAGGTGTGCACAGTTTACACAGAACAGAGAGTGCTCACTGTGATACCACACTGAAAGCAGAAGGATTTCCTCTGGGAGGAAACTGCAAAAACGACAATCAAAAGGTATGTTTCATTCTGCTGACTGTTACTGTGAAAGGTTATTCTGACCTTTAGCTTTTTAGATTAAAATGCGCACATGATTTTATGGATGGATGAAAAGAGTGGGTATTTGCACGAGTATAACCCTTTTCTTAAAGGCACTTTGTGGATGAAATGTGACGGGAAGACAACTGTCACATGCCATGCAAGGTTAATCAAGAAAAACTTGTCTGAGCGTGTGGTTGTTGAACACACACTCAGGCTGGATGGCCACTAACAAGATCAGGTTCCAACTGAAAAACAAAACCATGCACAAATATGTAGGCCTGTAATACTTATAAAGATACACCAACTAGATGGTTTTTCATGTTGCTTCATTTTACAGGAAATAGACAGCCTCAGAGTCTTACTGTTTTTATTTTTGAAAATGATGACCAGCAGGTCCYTCTACAAAACAAACCGGTTTGATTTGCGTGCCAGTTTTGCAAGACAAATGAGCCGAAATTGTATTGACAAAATAGATTGCAGGATATGACTACCCAGCATTCAAAACCAAATTCATAAAAAAAAAAACATATTTTGAAGACTGAAGGTGTTCTCACTCAATGAGTGCACATCTCTCATTGGTAGCTGTTCCTTCTCCATTTATGAGAATTATGCTCATCATTTTTACTTCAAAATCCTTTGCTTTTGCCATTGATGACCTTTTTTATGTTTTTTAATTCTTCTCACATTATTGACGCCTTGCTCCCAGATTATTTCCCTGACCTTGCAGCCTTGTCGTCTTTTATTTTTGTACCACCCTGGTACACACACCTTTGACCTTGAAAGAAGCACATACACAAAGATATAAAACCAAGTGGAACTGATATGCTTTTTTAATTGTGCATGATAATGTTCAGGTTGTTTTTGAAAAGATCAGGCTGATCTCAGGGCTTTATTAAAATCTAGCTGTTATTTGAGCTTAAAGGGATAGTTCAGATATTTTTAAGTGGAGCTCTTTAAATGTTTCTTATCCATTTAAGCAAATTTGATTTAATATAACAATTGTTTTTGAGTAGATAGAGATGCTAGCAGCCATTCCAATTGGAACAATCCTAAAATGAATTCCAATTTTGAGAAGTTTATAATGGTTTTGTGCAAACACTTTTTCCATTAATCCTTTACATTTCCGTTAATTTTGCATAAATTTATTAATGAAATAAAATTATTACAAATATTTTCCTATCCTGAGTGACAATACCATGTATTTATCAGTTTGAATTTTCTGTCTGTATAGATGACTCATATGCCATGTAAAGMTTCTACAGATGTATCCTGTTTCCCTCTGTTTATGAATACATCATAATGATCGGGTCAGGGCGTGGTCAAATGACCAGAAAGACAAAGGCAGAGAATGAGGAAGTTCAGAGGAAATTACATGGTTTCAAGTTTTGTGGTTTCAGGTTTTACAGTTTGTGAASATTTTCTGTCATTGTTTATATTAACAAAAGATTCCTGACAGTTAATTTTATTTTACCTCTCATTGACATTGTAGAGCTAGCTTATGCTCAACTATTGTTTGTTTCCCTTTAAATTGTGCCACGTTTGTGGGTTGGACAGCTCAGCTGAATTCTGTATTTGGGTTGTGACCATAAAAAACTTACCACACCTTCTCTGCTGATGCCAAACAGCTTATTCTGCTTCAGTCCCTTGTTTGGTGTCACTTTTTGGACTGGATTATTAAGTTCTGAATAAATGTGCATAAACAGATATATAGGCAAATTAATAATTTATTCSGTACCACTTTACAATAAGGCTCCCCTTTYTAGATGGCTTGTAAATAGTTTTTATAGATAGGTTATTAATTCATCTGTAAAGTAAACATTTATTAATGACTATTTGCAAGCCATCTATACGGGGAGCCTTTTTGTATAAAGTGGAACCATTAATTCATTTAACAAACAGGGACCTCAGTGGCATGTGGAAGAACCATACACAGCCACAACATGGCACCAACACCGAAACAAAGTTCTAATKCTGTACTTTGATCTCAAAGCTGAGTGTTATGGCAATATTTATTTAACAAAGACAGAAATACGTGGTCCAAGAGTGAAGGTACTCCGTGAGATGATCAGTTGAGTTTTATTGCAACAACAGGAAACACAGACAACAACCTGGCCTGTCTCTGTGCCTCCGCCTCTGTCACTGTCTCTCCACACCACTGTTGAACCGTTGAACACTGTTCACTCCACTCGAGAGGCCTCATATGTATATTAACAAATACCATTCTGTCATCTTAGCAAGATTTGATACAAGATCAATGGAAAACACAAAGATAAACACAAGTGATATCTAAGAATGACTGTTGTRAGCAGATCTTGTTCTGACTTTAATCATTCTATCTGCAGATGAACAGCATGTCATGAAAACCTAGGTCATTAAAGGATGTCATGAATAACTAGCTTAAACATAAGTATTAGTTCCATTACARTGAGTATTTTATACCTGTAGACCTGGACAAATTCACCACTGATCTACGTGTACAGTACTACTGATCTGTGCTATATTCCTTATTTTCAGGTRAAACGATGGCCAACTTTGGAGGACATGCCATCCCTGGCACCTTTTTCATGCTATATGGCTTTTGGCTGACTGTGAAACACATTCTCCAATACAACTGGAGAACAAGGCAGCCTAAAGGAAGACATATAATGCCGCCATTCTTTAAGAAAATGGAGTACGTTGAAGGAGGATTTCAAATCTTCGCATCCTTTGTGGGTCAGTTACCCATCAAGTTCATCTTTGACACCTATACCTTTTGGTCGATCACGCGATTTGTCTGATGTTGTGTGGTTTCAGGTATTATGGTCGAGCAGTTTGTAGTGGATGGCCCACATGCCCGTCTCTACAACAGGGAGGCCAGTTCATGGGTCAAGCTGATGAACTGGCAGCACAGCACAATGTATCTGTTCTTTGGGATTTCGGGAGTAGCATTGATTGCTTCTACTCTAATCAAAAAAGTGCCAACTGGTGTGGACCGACTTACTATCTCCATGGCTCTTTTTGTTGAAGGTAAACCCCAAAAAACTTGAATTTTGTTGTGTTTTTATATATTTATAAATGCCATAACATGTCCATCTGATGCACGTATTTAAGCTCTCTTTTTTGTGAATTCTTGCATAGGGTTTCTGTTTTATCACCACGTGCATGGCCGGGATCCTCTGGACGCTCACATCCACAGCCTGCTGCTCGTGGCTGTGTTTGGTGGCTCGGCCAGCACCATGCTGGAGGTATTTATCAGAAACAACATTATTCTGGAGCTGACCAGGGCCGGCCTGTTCATCCTGCAGGGCACGTGGTTTTACCAGGTGGGAAAACAAGACGATTGGTTTGGTTTCGATTCAGTTTTAGAAAACACGAACTTGTCTCCGATCTGTTGTCTTCAAATAGAGTTGGAAACTTTGGAACGACGTTAAAAACAGTTGGGTCTTTTTGTAGATGTGTTCTGTGGAAAAAAATTATGAACAATTAATATCTTGCCTGTTGTTGATACATACTCAGTTTGAAGAACAGGTTTGAAAGATTGACTAGCTAGCTATTACTCCACACCATTGCTGTTGTCCTAAAACTTTCTTAGCTATTCAAGCTAATGAAATTTAAAAACTAATAATCACTTAATTTTCTGTAAATTACTTATTTCTGTATGAATTATGAAATGTGAGAAACATGACTTCTTTTAAAGGGGACATATCGTGCAAAATCCACTTTTTTTAGCCGTTAAATACATTTTGTTGTATACTTGGAGTCTCTAGGGGTGTAGAGATCTTTATATTCTGCTTGGATCATAMTCTTCAACCCATTCAGTTTTCCTTATTTTCTATGACATTTTCTGAACTATTACATCAAATTATTTGTGACAGAACTGCAAATAAGGTCTGGACTTCCCAACTACAATTCGTTGATCTATATTCTCCTCTGGCTCCAACATGTAAGGCTGYATTATTTGATCTTAAAGAGACAGCCTCAAAACGAGCTAGTCTGAGACACACTTCAGAAAAGGGGTGAAAGAGGGGCTTGTGAAGCTACAATATGGAGGAATTCAGATCAAAGTATCGCAGTGTCACTTTATATAGAGCCCAAKTGAATTATTTAAATGTGAAAAAGGATTTAAAAGCAGGTTTTTAGGGAGCCTTTAGGGATCGAGATAGGGAGTTATTGAGGAGTATACAGAAGCAGTCAAAGAGACAGCAAGGAGGTTTATAGATGGAAGCTGGAGAGTAAACTGAAAAGGAACAATATCAGAGATGTGTGGTCAGGGATGAAGAA